CCTGAGTTAGCAACTTACTGGAAAAAAATTTTCACGGGCCCGTGCGTGTTTACCACGCATACCCGACAGTTGGGTTTTAGCTGAATGAAACATAGGTGGACGGCGTATATCCTCTCAAAATCACAGTTCTTTAGCTTCTCAGATCCCCAAGTTATGAACTTACCCGAAAAAAATTTTGGCGGGCTCGTACGCGGGTGTCACGCTTACTCGGGAGTTGGGTTTGAGCTCACTAATACCCACATGAACGGGGAACATTCCCCTAAGATTTCAGCTTTCTGGCTTTTCAGATACTCGAGTTATGAACTTATCCGAAAAAAACTTTGGCGGACACGCACGCGGGGTACCACGCGGGTAATGGCGCCCATTTTGGGGATTGGGGCCCATACGTGCATGTAGATTAAGTTCCCAAAGTTTCAGCCCTGTAGCTTTTGCAGGTCTTGAGATGAAAAACCGTGACAGACCGACACACAGACAAAAAGACACACACACAGACAACCTCTCGTCAATATATGTTTTCTGCATTGCATAGCTGCACAAAACGCACAAAAACTACCAAAAATCGTCGGATTTACTGTTATTTGGAATACTGGAAGTAGGCCTTAGAAGGGAAGAAGAGCGCAAGATGTGAAAGTTCACACGATGAACTTTTCAGGCGTTGATCTGACCGGTTTTTTTTTTTTTGAGGTTTTTGTGGCATGAAAAGAACTGAGCTAATGTGCAGCCACGACTGTCCTGGTTTTGTTTGGCGTATAAGCCAAATTTGAACTTTTTTTTTTTGCAATATATACCAGTCTGTACTTTCCTGCTTTCGTAACTGCAAGTCTACGTCATTCCAGTACGTAAAAAAATGAGAAATCTCTAGCTAATCGGTCCGTTTTCAGTTACACCACAGACCCCTAAAAAACTGAGTGACTGGACCACCGCATTCGGACAGAAATTTTTGCGGACGAAAAAACTGTTAGGAACACACCGACTTCTTTCAGATAAGCATCGAAATTCTCGGAATTAACAAACGTCCAGGTTCCCGCAAATTTCTCTGCTATCGCCATCTTCTGCGCTTTGTTTTCAAGTCAAATAATGCTTTTTCTGAAAAACCGAGATATTTCAAAGAGATAAATCTAAAATTCAGGACGAAACAATACTCGCAAGGCCCCGCGGTGCAAAAGTGGAATTGCATTTTGCTTATGGAGATAAATTTCATTTCGTCTTTCCATGAAGCTGGAAGAGCAGAAATAACTCTCAATAGTTCACTTTGTGGCATTTTGATGAGGAGTAAAAGCAGTGGTAGGACCAGATTTCCTAGTGGCAAAGGGACTTTGGCAACAATTTTTTAGTCTCTTTACCGCCTTCTAGGATGA